TGCGGCGACGGCTATGGCCAGGGGCCCCAGCGAGCGTCGAGCTTCTGGGTGGGGTTGAAGCAAAACAAACCAAACAACGAACTCGGCCTGCGGCTACGGCAGAGGGCCACGGCGGGAGGCGAGACTCTGGTTGTGGCCCATGCAAGACAGAACGATACAAAACCAAACAAAAACACGAAACGAATGCCCTGAGGCCGTGGTTGCGGCCGAAGCACAGGTTGGGGCCCAGGCTGAGGCTACGGCCAGGACCGCAAGGCCGAGGCTGGGGGCAGGGCTCAGGCAGGGGCAGGGGCAGGGGCAGGGGCTCAAGCGCTGCGGCTAGGGCTGATAGGGGTGAGGCCGAGGCGAGGGCTTCGAGCCAGGGGCTGCGGATGGCTGCGGCTCGGGCCGAGGCCACGCGCCGCGGCTGGGGCTTCGGGCTCGGGCGCAGGCAGTGCAATGTGGGGGAGCCCGCGGCCCTGGGACAAGGTTCTCGGGCCTGGAATCCAGGGCCCAGGGGTCTCGGGGCCCGGACTCGAAACACCAGGAGCCCTGGACCTTGGATTCGCGGCCCCCGAGCGCGGCACCGTGGCGAGCGGCCCGCGGAGAGGAGCGGGCGGGGCGGCCAATGGTGTGGGGGGGGGGCGCCGCCCGCGCCCACCCGGCCCCACGGCCCCGTGCGGGGGGCCAGCGGGGTGAGAGCCAGCGTGGCGGACGAGGCCAGGGGCCGAGGAGGTGGAGGAGGTGGAGGAGGAGGAGGAGGAGGAGGAGGAGGAAGAAACACTCGAGAGCAGGCTGAACCGCATGAGTGTTTAGACCAGGCTGGCGTGGCGGGTTGGGGGCAGTATCCACGTCGGTCGGAAGAAGCAGGTCGAAGCCTGAAGCAAGAGGGCGGACAGAGGAGATTGGGGCCGGGCCCTCCCAGATAACATGTTGCAAAATACAGCAAACGCACACCGATTCGTGAGGTAAGAAGGCGCTTGAAGCAGATTGCTGATAATTCAGACATACATACTTTCGACGGCCGACGTGTATCCAAGTCGTGCAGCGGGAGGCGCGAGTATGTGCTAACACGCCTCTAGCCGAGAGGGACGTTCCACGCCTGCGGCACGGCGGCGAGCGTATCCGCCATGCCGATGGCGGCAGTGGAGCGCTGGACATGGACTAGCGGTGGATACCATCCGCTCTCACAGCACTCCTCACCGGGAAGCATGAGATTACCGCTGCGAAGACGTTTGAGGTGGCACGCGGCCCCCACCCCTTGCCCCCCGGTCCATTGCTTGCGGCATCATTCGGAGTACCAGTTCCAACGAACATCGCCGACGCGATGCTTGAAGCGTACGTCGAGAGCCTCGGGAGCAGAGGGCAGGTCGAGCGTGAGGACAGCCGTCCTCATACCAGGGGCTGGGCGCAACTCTGGGAGACGGCGCGGGGGGGATCTCAGTCATGCGAAAGCCGCCCAATAGACCTGCGCGTCGTGCTCTAAGCGGCTAGCGATCGGGCCGCGCGCGTGGCGGGAACTTCGCGGCGTCCTGGAGCCGATAACACCCTGGCTCAATCCGAGCAGAGGTCAGGCCAGATCGGGGAGGAGGGGAAGGAGAGGAGGGTCAGGAGGAGGGGAGTCTGCGCTGAACCAGGGAATGTGGCACCCGCTATCGTGCGACCCGCGGGAGCGATGGGCCGCAGCCCAGAGAACTCCGACAGTGACGAGGCGGCCGCTTCTTTTGTTGAGGCGCCGCCGGACAGCCTGGAGCGCTTTTCTTTCTTCGCGGCGATAACGGGCGTTATGGGGGGGGCGGGGGGTATAACGTAACGCCCCCCCCCGCCGAGCGGCTCGGGCGCCAGCACAGCGTTCGCGCGCACGACGACGACAAGCGACGACGACGACGACGACGACAAAGACGACGACAAGCGACGACGACGACGACGACGACGACAACGACGACGATGAGCGACGACGAAGACGACGACGACGAGCGACCACAACGACGACTACGGCGACGGCGACGACGGGGGCGACGACGACGACCATGACGACAACGACGACGAGCGACAACGACGAGCGACGACGACGACGACGACGAGCGACGCCTCTGGAGGTCTCTGGAGTTCTCCCGTGGCCTCCGGAGGCCTCCAGAGGCCTCTGGAAGCGCCCAGAGGCCATCCGGAGATCATCCGAAGACCTCCAGAGGCCATCGAAAGCATTCGAAGGCTTTTGACAACGACGAGCGACCGCGAGCGATGACAACCGACGACAAAGACGACGACAAAGACGACAACGTCGACAACGACAACAACGACGACGATGACGACGACAAGCGACGACCGACGACGACGACGACGACGACGACGACGACGACGACGACGACGACCGGCAACGAAGAGCGACGACGACGACGCGCGCTGACGACGACGATAACGACAACGACGACGACGACCGACGACCGACAGCGAAGAGCGACCAGGAGTTGTGGCGAGCACATGCCTGCGAACGTCGTTGCCTCCACGTGGCGCATAGGAGGTATGCTCCTTATTACCTCCCTCGTCCATCCTCGTCTTCGGTGTCGTCATCGTTGTTGTCGTCGTCCTTCTCCTCTGATTGCTCTCTCTCTCTCTCTCTTTGACGAACACCACAAGTGCCTGAGAGCACCACATCTTGCCCGCGACCACCGCCCCAGTGCGGATCTCTATGCGGATCCACAATTATGGGGACCCCTCTGGTGATCCCTATGCGCATCCCTATGCGGATCCCTATGCGGATATCTGTGCGGATGCCCATGCGGATCCCTGTTCGGGTTCCTACGCGGATTCCTTTGCGCACGGCGGCAGTGCCGGAGACGCACTGGGGGCTGGAGCGTTACGTTATAGCGGGGGGTGGGCGGCGGGGCCATATAACGCGCGTTCTGGCCCACGCATGAAGAAAGACGCTCCTGTCATAAGAGATCCATGCGGCATCGGCCATTGGCCGCAGGGCCTGCTCCATGTCGTCCTGGAGCCCTGCACGCCGTAGCCTCCCCGACCCTGCACCGCCGCGCACGGCAGGGAGGCTGTCCCCCTGCCACCCGGGCAGCGCGAACGTAGGGGTCGAGTCCCGTAGGAGGTCGAGCCCCCAGCGACAGGCGGCCACTTCGGCGGCCAGGGCGCCACTGCAGTCGGGCAGCACCAGTGTGCTCGCGGCAAGGAGGGCTGGAGGAGCAGCAGGGTCAACGTGGTGCCAGAGCATGATGCAGGCTCGTGCGACTTAAGGCTGGCCGAAGAGACCTCACGAGCGCCCCCACCGCAGGTCAGCTCGAAAAGGCAGACACCCGCCCCCGGGTCCGGCGTGAGCCTGCGCGGCACGCAGATCTCACGGCCAGGCGGCAGGGCGCATGAGGCCGGGAGGTGCGCGGTATGTCGGCGGCAAGCGGTGCAGAATGCGGTCCGCCATTCCGCGTTAGCCTCGCCTTCGGGAACTGGGCGCGGGGCGGGGACCCAGCCGCGCTCGGGAGGGAGCCCGCCAAATTCGGTACGGCTGGTTCGTGTCGTGACGATCCCGACATTGGTTTCTGACATCGCGCTGGATCGTTCAGTCTTGAACGATCGGCCGTTTCAAGAACGTCCGACCTTTCAGCGTCGACCGACTCTGGGTCGCCAGCGGCATTCAAGGTTGAACGCCGTCGGCGGGGTCGCCGCTGGTCGACACGACGCGAACCTACCGTACCATCAACGCCAAGGTGCCGTGAGGATGGAAGGCCCGAAGGACCGAGCGGGGGAGACGAGCCCGCGCCTGGGCACGTCGCCGCCGCGCGTCGCTGCGCGGGAGCCCGCCACCCTCGCGGGCCCTCGCAGGGGAGGCAGCGGGCTCGGGGCGCAGGCCGGGCACCTGTCCATGGAAACCTCCCACGTGCAGCCGACGGGTCCGTCACGCCTCGCGCGGGCGAGCACGTCGGGCCGTCGGCGTCGGGGGCATCGGCGTCCCCTCCCGCGGGAGCAGCCGCCGCGGCGCGAACCAGTTGGGCGGCCCTTTCGGCCTCGAGGGGCCGGTGGGGAAGCGTGGCCGCATAAAGATAGCCTAAGATGGCCTAGCTGGTGTGCGAGATCGGCGAGAAAGTCGCAATGCTCCCCGGGCTGCCGGAAGGCGTCGGTGAAGCAGGGAGAGCACCGATGAGCCGAAGGAGGAGCCAGGCGAGAGCGACAGCGGGACACCAGACCCATAGGTGGCAAGCGCTGGCCTTGCCGAACCCATAAAGAGGACACGGGTCGAAGGATCCTCACCCCAAGGATTGGCTTGCAGGTCGGGCGTACGGATTGACTACCTGCCAAACCACTCCAACCTAACCCGACGACCCCAACTTCGGGTTTGGCGGACTGCCTGACAGATGCGCTGGGATGCCTGGGCGGTGGATGTGGGACTGGGTGGCCCCCCAGGGTCGCGGAAATGCGGAGCCCCATGGTGGCTGTCTGCCCAATGGGCGAGAATCGCCCAGTTGTCAGCAGCCTCCAGGCTCGCCCAGGAAGGGCTCCAGAAGTCCCGACGTGCGTAGGCGAGAGTGGCCACGTCGCGCGAAGTGGCCACAAGACATCGGGGCGCCCCGGGGGCTGAAAGAAGGGCCCGAGCCTGGTGCGGAGGGCGAGGGGAACGTAGCGAAGGCCAGCAACTCCGAGCGCGACCCTGAGGTAGGAACGCGCCAGCACCTCTTGGCTATGGTACAGGATGATCTAGCGGGCAGGGTGCAGGGCAAATGAAGTGAAGCACATGACAGTTCCAGAGTGTTGCGCGCCAGCCGAGGGAGATGCGAGCACTGCGAATGGGCTGCGCGCGGACGGTTGCCTTGCCAAAGGCCCGCGCCCAGGTGGCTTCCCGCACGTCTTCGAGTTGCGCGCCCACCAACCACACACACACACACTCGCGATCAAGAAGCGCGCTCTATCACATAACTACGAGGAAAAGGAGCAGGAGGAGGAGGATGAGAAGGAAGAGGAGGGGTAGGGGGACGATAATGAGGAGCATGAGGAGCAATGTTGCCAATCCCGTTGGGGGCCTGCCAGAGGAGCCACCTCGTGGAGGGGCTGCTTACAGCTGGCATGTCCTCGCCAGACCAGTCGACTGCACACGGGCTTCCGAAGGTTCCCCACCTCAGGAACCATCCTTCCGTGTAGCGGGGCAGCCTCCTCACTTCCCCCTCTCTGCCCCTCTTCTGTGCTGATCCTCTTCCACTCTCCTCGATACTGCTCGTCCCCATTCCTGTTGCATTTGCTGTTCCTGATCGTCGTCAACCTCATCCTCCTCATCCTGCCACATTAACCCTCCTTCTCCTCCTCCTACTCCTCCTGCTCTTCCCCATCCTACTCCGTTTCCTCATTCCTTTCCTCCCCCATCCTTCTTCCTCTCCTTCCCTGTCCTCGTCCTCCTCCTTCGCCCCTCCTCCCTCGCCCACTCTCCTGCACGCTCTTCCTCGCTCCCCTCCTCATCCTCCTCCTACTCCTCCTCCTCCTGCTCCTCCTCCTCCTCCTTCTCCTCCTCCTCCTCCTCCCACCACCACTACCACCATGCTTTGGCATGCGCTGTACCCAATTCGCCCCAGCCACCACCACCTGCTCTTCGTCCTTCCCCGCCCTCCCACTCCTGCAACTCCTGTTGCCACCCCTGCTGCGCATCCACATGCTGCATTTCCTGGTTCCTCTCATTGTTATTATTCTTTTTCCTCCGCTTTTTCTCATTCTTGTCTGCTCCTGCTGCTTCATCCCCTCCCGCTCCGCCTCGATCCAAGTTGAGCCCCGATGCCGATCCAGCAGCCCGAACAATATTCTCTGGACTTGGCCGCCCCAATGGGCTTTCAGTGGCCCTCGCTGGCCGCGCGACGGGGGCAGTTTTTTCTCATCCCGAGCCGACTGACGGCCCCGGGGCCCGAAGGCCCCAGGGACCGAAGATTGGCAGAAGCCTGCCGCCGTGCCAGAGAGAAAGGGGCAGAAGCGAAGAGGAGGACAAAGGAGGACAGGGGAGGAGGAGGAGGAGGAGGAGGAGGAGGAGGAGGAGGAGGAGGAGGAGAAAGAGGAGGACGAGAAGGACCAGTGCACACCTAAGACGCATCAACGATGTTGAAACTACACCCTCCCTGCGATTTCGCTCTTCATAAAGCCCCACGGAAATCTATCTCAATTCCGGGAAATGCCCCATTGGAGGACAGCCGTCTGACAACCCTCAATTAAGCAAAAAAATACTTCCCGGGACTCCAGCGTTGTGAATTCACGTGCCTGTTGCGTTTGACAATCCTAATCCGTTCCAGAACACCCTCCCTGGGACTGCAACACGCGATAATCATCGTGACTATGCTTCCTGGCAGTCCTGGACCTTACCAAAACAATGTTCATGGGACCCCGACAGTTGCAAGTCCTTGAAGCTGCTGCAAACTTCCATATGGAATATGCGCGGCGCTGAGGCGATAGCCAGATTTCGAAAAATTATCGCCCGTCGTCCTTCAAGCTGTTGAGAACTTGTACGGCAAAGGTGCGCAGCCCGAACGCGAGAAACATACTTTGAACAAGGGCCTTTTTTATCCATGCAGCTGCTGCAAGCTTGTAAAAACGAATGTGCGCGGCGCCAAGACGAGAACCAACTGTTGAACACCATCCGCCCTGCATCCAAGAAGCTCTTGCAAACTTCTAAGGCGAATGCGTGCGGCGCAGAGGCGAGAACCGCACTTTGGAAACCACCTAATTACCCTCCATCCGTGCAGCTGCTGCAAGCTTTTACAACGAATGTGCGCGGCGCTAAATCGAGAATCACATGTTGAAAACGGTCCGTCCGTGAAGCTTCTGCACATTTCAAGGGAACGGCGAGACGCCCAGCTCACTCCACCCTACCGACGCGCCCAGCGAAACTATCAATCAAATCGCCCAGCCCACCCTTCTGACACGTCTGGGAATGCAAGACAGGGATCAGCTACTTATGATGAAAAAGGGATGGAGGTGAAGGAGTACGATGAGAAAGGAGGAGGAGGAAGCAGGAGGAAAATGATAGAGGAAGAAGAACGGTGCTGATGGTGATGATGCTGATGGTGATGATGATGATGATGATGATTATGATGATGATGATGATGATGATGATGATGATGATGATGATGATGATGATGATGATGATGGTAATACTGCTGATGGTGCTGTTCATAGTAAGGTGATAACAAGGAGGAGCATGGGAAGGACCAGTATGAGGAGGATGAGAGAAAGAGGTGGGAAAGAGCGAGAGGAGCCGGACGAGGAGGAAAGAGGAGGAGGAGGAGGAGGAGGAGGAGCAGGAGGATCTCTCACAGCTAGTGGAGGTCTGGGATGATCCCCGATCTTCTGGACCTCGGGCCCCCGGCTTGCCGCCGATCGAGCAACAACGCGCGCCCCCCGCCGAGGGGGGTACCCGACGCAGACCCGAGAACTCCGCGCGGGCTTCCGAGCGCGTGTGTGTGTGTGAGTGTGTGTGTGTGTGAGTGTGTGTGTGTGAGTGTGTGTGTGTGAGTGTGTGTGTGTGTGTCTGTGTGTGCGTGTGTGTGAGTGTGTGTGTGTGTGTGTGCGTGCGTGTGCGTGCGTGCGTCGTCCCCTCCACCTCTCGGGTCGGGCGAAAGGGGGGGATAGCAAAGGGGGGGCTCGAGAATCAGCTCACGTAGCTGATTTTCCCAGCGCCTCCCGGCGGCAGGAGGCGGCCATGTATCGAGGAATGGGCTCCTCGGTGGGGCCGAAACCAGCTGCATGCAGCAAATTTCGTACCCCCCCCTTTCCCGATCCCCCCCATTCGTCTGGCCCGAACCTCATCCATGCCTCGCTGGCTGCTGCTAATGGCACGCTCGGATTCCGTAATTTGCATTTCCCCCGGAGGCCCCGGCCGGCCGCGCGCGCACCGGCTCTCCGACCACTCTCTTGGCCTCGACGCAGCGCGCGAAACCGCGACCGCCAAAAACGTGTGTGTGTGTGTGTCTGTGTATGTGCGTGTGTGTGTGTGTGTGTGTGTCTGTGTGTGTGTGTCTGTGTATGTGTATCTGTGTGTGTTTGTGTATGTGCGTGTGTGTGTGTGCGCGTGCGCGCGTGTGTGTGTGTGCCGTTTGATGCGCAGACCGCGTCATGTTCTCCGACCGGATGACCCTCGATCTGCGGGAGCGCCTCTCCCTTCGACCCAGCTCCCGCCGCCTGCCCCCGTCTCACCCTTCCCTCTCCCCCCCAAACTCTTGCTCCCTCCCCCTCCTCCCTCGACCGATGACCTTCGCTCATCTACTGGGAGGGCGAAAAAGTGCCTATACCGCTACGCCCTGGACCTCTCCCAGGGCGCGTTCTGACAAGGATCCAGAGGCGAATGAAGCTGCGGAGACAAGGGCCTTCCAGGAGAAGGCAGCGGCACGTCGGCATTCCCTGGGATCCGATGCTGCGAGCACATGCTTTGTGCCCACGGCGCTGGCGGTCGCAGAGCGCGTTCAAGACCGCGCGGGCTACGCGCGGAACAAACTGTGTCCCACGTACAGATGGGCGAAACGAGGAGGCCGCAGGGCTCACCCCAAACTTGATTTGTTCGTCGAGTCCATGAGAGATGCACAAGCTGCTCGTAGATCTACGGACATTCTACGTACGACTCGACGGGAAAATTAATTCTGGGGTAATACAGGAGGAAACACATGCATTAACATGAACTTGTGAAGGTCCGCGCGGGTTTCTTGAATCTGGGCTACCCTCCCTGACGCGCGGAACGCGCCAGGTGCGGCGCCGGAGGCGCCGCCGAGGGGGGGGCCAACGCAGATTCAAGAAATCCGCGCGGAGCGCCAAAACTTCATGGTCATGGCGTTTTATTCCCTTCGGGTACAAATGTCTGGACGAGAAAATTAAGTCTGGGGTACATCAATTATGTAGTCAATCCCCCACTCGAAAGACACAAGGCAGAGGAACGCGAGTAGTAGGTCGGGCATGTCCCCCTACAGGCGGATTCTTCAAGAACTCTAAGAGATAGTCCAGAGAAGCTCAAAAATAGTCAAACAATGCTCAACAAATCGTCCCCTGATTCTTGTTTGACTATTTTTGGCGACTCCTCCTGTTGGTACATCAATTCTGCAGTCGATCCTCCACTCGAAAGCTGGCGGCGCGCAGAGGGGGGTAGGGGGAGGGGGGAAGGCTCCTTAGAAGCGCCCCTGCTTCGTAGAAGGCGCGGGTCTCATCTGCAGATGTAAGGCCGGCGCCTTCTAAGAAGCAGCCTCCCCCCCTCCCCCTGCCCCCCTGTGCGCGCCGCCAAGGAAGACACAAGGCAGAGGAGCGCCAGCAGGGAGCGGCCACCACGCGCGTCGAGGGGCGGCCGCCAGGGGGCGACGCACGCAGGGGCTCATGCGCGGGCCTGCGCCGTGCGGGCTGCGACTGCCGGAGGGGGGAGCGGTGGGCCCCGTGGGTCACCGACTGCTGTCGCTAGCCGGACAGGGCTCGAATTAAAAAGGGTTTTCCGTTGTCGTTTTGTTTTCCTCATCCCTAGTTCTGTCTTCGTTCCACATTTGCTGCAAAACGAAGTCAAAACGAAAACGGTCCACGAAATTGCCAAAACACCGTTTAACTCGAGCCCTGTTGCAGGATCCCTGAGATTCTGGCACTGCGTAAGCCCGAATCTTGCTTCTGCGCCCACAAGGCACAGGCATGAGCTTTGGAGGAGAACGGCCGAAGCTCCAGGCAGCTGAAACCGACAGCGTCGGGGCAGCGTGTCTACCCCAGCATGACTGAAGAGATCCTCTGGAGCGGCAGAATGCTAGAGGGAGGGGCAGGAAGGCCGTTACGAACAAACATGCAACATCGAACAAAACACTCGACCGGACACCTGGACCCCATGTTTCTGAAACATTCGTCGACCCGCATCGATCTGTGATGGTCCTGAGGCCTGAAACCGAGCGAAAACGCCCGGGGTGAATATTTTACAGCACCCAGATCTCGTAAGGTCTCCCTCCTCCCCCTCATCATTCCTTGACCGATGGCCCTTGCCCATCGATCTGCTGGACATGGAACGAACGACAGGGTGGTTCATGCAATGGTGCCGATACTGGTGTTGGCTTCCGGATTTCAGAACTACTCAAACGGGGATAACCACCCTTTCGCACTCTACATGGTGGATGGCCGGATACGCAGGCGGTTCACGCAGGACCCCCGTCCCGCGAACCACCAGCTGGGATTACGAAGAGGCAGTTCGGGATTTGTTTTATCATATTTAGACGGCTCGGAATAGTTTCGCACACAGGCTCAACCACAAACGCCCCAACCACCATGACGGCGATTCGCATATGCTGGACTGGGCTCCACCTTGTCCCTCTCCCTCCATTCCCTCTGCCCCCTCTCCCTCCATTCCCTCTCTCCCCCCGACTCCACCCCAGACATTCGAGGTCTTGTTTTCTGTCCGTGCAGGGCCCGTGGAAGGCCCAACCGTTTCCCCGGGGCTGGGCTTCGTCAGGAGTTGCGTCTGTTGGGCGGCCCTGGGGTCCGGCGAGGGCCCCTGGAGGCTGAACGCAGAAGAAAACCTCGTCAGGATTTCTCCACACGTTGCATCCTCCTCCTCCTCCTCCTCCTCCTCCTCCTCCTCCTCCTCCTCCTCCTCCTCCTCCTCCTCCTCCTCTATGGACTCCTCTGACACCTGGTGTTGCAAAAGAGCATGCGGCACCGCCAAAACACACGACCGGAGCCCCCGACCCCATCTCTCTGCGCCATTTTTGGGTCCGCCTCGATCTGTGAGAGCCCCGGGGACCGAAACTGGGCGAGAGCGCGTGCGGTGGAACAATGCAACGCCAGGATCTCAGGGATCCCCTCGACCGAGGACCCTCGCCCCTCGATCTGGGGAGTGCGACAGGGACTCGATACCTCTACTCCCTGGACCTCTCCCAGGGTGAGTTCTTCTGACCACGATCTCGACAGGAAAACGTGCGAAGGGTAGCTGTATGGGTACCTTCTTCGCTCATCTGACGATGACCCCTCCTCCCCTCAATCTGGCCTACAGTAAGGACGAGGTGCCTCAAACAACGCAAACCCACACTTGGGTCCTTCCTATCCTTAGTCGGCGGCGAGCTGGGGGGAAGCGAGAAGGGGCAGGCCTTCTCAGAAGGATTGGAAGTCCCCCGGCCTTCTGAGGAATTTTCCACGCCTTACCCGAAAACGCAAAACACTTCCCAGGAGGCTGGAGCGCTTCTGGGAAGCCACGCGGCCTTCCGAGAATGCCTTCTCCTTCTCACTTCCACCATCCCGCTCGCTGCCGACGAAAGCCCCCATCCCTCAGGACACAATCCTTCCCGCCCGAAGAGGTTGTACACTGTGCCCGAAAAAAGCCCCGGGGGGTGGGCGAGGGTCCGGGCCGTGGGCCTGAGTCTACCGAACGTGGGCGCGCCTCTGCACACCGAGCGTGGCCCCGTGAGGTGGAATCTGACTGGGGCGGGGAGCGCGCGGCATCCGAGACACAAGTTCGAGAACCTTGGAATCTGAAGGGGCCCCATGACACACAAATAAATACACACAAAAAAAAATATTCCCCATATTTTCCCATATTTTCTGGGTTTCTGTCTTTCCCCCCACTTCCCATATTTTCCCATATTTTCTAGGGGATCGACGATTAATTGTGTCTGTGTGTTTCTTTTCCTCCTGAGAATCGCCGACCCGATCTGCTGGACCTCTGGGCTCTCCGCCTGCCGCCGCTCGGGCTGCAGCGCTCGCTGCCGCCCGCCAGCGGCGCCCGGCCGGGGGTCAGCAGCGCGACCGCGCCCTGCGCCACGTGCCGCCCGGGCTCCGCCAGGATGCGGAGGCCGGGCCACGCGGCGCTGGGGAAGCGCCTGCGCCCCGCCGCGGGTGCACGCCGAGGGCCCCCCCCGCAGCGGCGTGGTCCGTGCGGGGAGAGCGGTGGGGATGCGCGGGGCCACCGCACGGTGAGGAAATATCAAGGCCCAGGCCATGATATCCAACCCCCCTAGTCGTTACCCCCTCTGTACCGCTCCCGAGCTTTACCGCGAGACACAGACCTCCAAGGTAGTGAACAAAGAATGGCAGAGGTTTTTCGATGGCCCTCGGCGGTTTTCCAGCATCGACGGGACTGCTGTTGACTACTTGTAGTCACGGTCGATGCCCAGGGGAGCGGTGGGGGCCGGGGAACGGTAATGCTTGGGCGGGGGGGGGGGTGGACGGGGGGGGGGGAGGCGGGGCTCGTTGCAATCGGCAATCGCCATAATTTGCGCGAGGGGGGGGGGTTGGGGGCGCGGCTGGTTGCAATCGCCATGGTTTGCGCGCGAGCGCCAGCATGTGGGTGGGCGGCTCAGGCCCCCCCTCATACGTACGTACCGTCGTTACCGTTCCCCGGGGAGGGGGGGGGCGTGTAAGATGAGAAAGGAATCTCCAGACACCCAAAATATTGAGAAAAACATGACTGAAGTTGTTCGAGGGACCTCGGCGGGTTTCCAGCCTTCTCAGGGTGTCTTCCAGCATCTGCGCCTCGCCGAAAACATTCGTGGGGTGCCGGGATCGTCCCGAACGTCCAGTGAAGAACCACATTGTGACCCGAAGATCTGGCATTCAACGCGTTGAAACATGTTGGCAAACATATTCCGTTGTATGTCACTGAAAACCTTGTGGGGCCCGCGCGCATCGAAGCTTAAGACGCGTGTGGTGGAAGCCTGCAGAAGTTTAGCGACATCGAGTAGGAGTCTGCAGAATTCTAAGGAACTCTGGCGGAAGTCAGCAACATTCTTCGGCGGACTGCGCGGTTCTGGAACGTCACGAACCCCAAGTGGCGCAGGGCACATCGGCAACGCAAACGCCGAAACCGCACCAAGACGGGCCGAGAAGCGTCGCAATGCGGCTGACGAGGACCAACGTGGCCAACTATTTGTCTCAACATTCACAAACTACCACCACGAATCGCTACGAGGCCTCTGATGCAAAACCAGCAGGACGCATTCGCAAGACGCAACGTTGCACACTGAACTGGCTAGTGCGGCACCACACATCCGCAAGCATTACGAAAAGCCGCGGGCGCTTGTGCGAAACTTCTCGGCCACCTTGCGGGCGCCCAGGGCCACCGTGCTAAATGCCCATGCCGAACCAGCACACAACCAAGAGACGACCACTGAGGCGGTCAAACATGTAACCGTGCGCGACAGGGAAACGCAACCCGTCGCTACAATAGTAAGCCGAGGGGGGACAAGCAATACACACTGGGCAATGAGCAATGCGCGAAAGGGCTCACATGCTTGATTCATGAACCAACTGGCAGGCCACGAAACCCTCGCAACCCGACGTATGAGCGAAACGGGATAACCACTGCGGTGGAACAGAAAATGCAACGCGCTGCCCATCCGCAAATGCTGCCCACAGCCGGATGCGGCCGCTGTTGGGGCCAGCAGCGCGTTGTTTTTTCCGCCATGGGCGGCACTTGCTGTCGGACTTCGCCCCCGTATTCGACGTGCCCGTGTCTGCGGGCAAGATTTGTATATTTATTCAATGCGTCTTGAACTCTCTGGGAAGGGGCGCCACAGGGCCGAGGCGCAGTGGATATGGATACAACCCTGGCGCCCAAAGGGGCCAGATCTCTACACAGATCCACTGCGCCTGGGGCTTCTGGGGAAGGGAGCCCGAGACTCCCAAGACGCAGTGGGTACGGATGCACACCTTACCCTTACATGTCCATCGTGCAGAGCACTGGCGACGCCGCGACAGCGGCAGCAGCAGAGGCGGCCCGCAGGACGACGGGGCCCACGTGACGCACGTCGACATGCCGGCCACCTGGGCGCCACCTTGGCGCTGACGCGGCGACGGAGTCAGGGAGGTGAGCCACGCCTACGGTGAGGGCGTTGGATACGGAACCATCGGACAAGGAGTCCAGGGTCTGGAAGCTGGTGGAACGCCAATCGTGGATTGGCCAAGGATAGCACCGCCGACCTCGTGAGATAAAAAATCCTCCAGGGTCTGAAGCCCCCTGGACAAATTCCTTAACGAACGCCCCCACCAGAACTCACCCCCAAAGGCCGGGCACTGTCCGCCTCCTGGGGGGCCGCGTCCTCATGTTGACCACGCGACGCACACCTGCGCGCCCGACGTGGATGCGGGAGACGCGAAGGCGATGCCCAGCAACAACTGCCGCCGTTGCTAGCAACGACGACGACGACCACGACGACGACGGCTCTGCGAATGCCTCAGGGGGGGGAGGACTGCTGCCTAGGCCCACTGCAGTCGACGGCGATGACGACGATGGCGACGGCGACGGCGACGGCGATGGCGACAACGACGACGACGACGACGACGGCGACGGCGACGGCGACGGCGATGGCGACGGCGACGACGACGCACTGCATATGCCCCAAGAGTGGGAGGGCTGCTTAGGCCCGCTGTCGTCGTCGACGACGACGGCGGCGACGTCGGCGACGAGGACCGAAGACGACGAAGACCGACGACGACGACGATGACGACGACGATGATGACCACGACGACGACGACTTTGGCACGCCAGTAATGAGCCTGAGAGGGGAAAACACGTCGCCTCGGATGTATACGATCCCAACTACAACTTCTATACGAAGGCAATTGGTGTGAGGCTGACGCGCAGGGGGGTACACGATACCCTCGGCGGCGGCAGCGACGACCCGCGGGGTCCATTCATCCTTCTTGGGATGGGGGGCGGCACCACTTACTGATCACAAGCCGACATTTCCTTTTCCTCCTATCAGTTCGCCCGAGATTCGGGGACCAACTTCCCCGCCTGCGCAGGTGCCCCTCCACGTCGTCGGCGCTCTGGGCCGCCTTCTGGAGAAGCCAAAAAGGTACTGATACCGCTATCCCCCCCGCGGACCTCTCTCAAGGTGCGTTCTGACCAGAATTTCGAAGCGAGTCCAGCCGTGCTCACCTGCCCCGCTACGCAGCACGCAACCCGTAGCGTGCTTACACGGAGCTTAGCACGCAGAATGAAAACGTAGGTCTGGCGCGATGGGTTCGCCAAAACGGGGACCAACACGTGCCGAGCCATCACGCAGCGTGTGAGCACGGACGTTTTGAACACGGTACGTTTCCTTGCAGCACGGGCGTATCAGGGTAGCCAGGCAGCCGTGGCGACGAGGGCCTCCCAGGAGGCACAACATAGCGAAAACGAGGGAACGGTAGCGGAATCGCTGCGGCATGTTGGTGTCATGACGACTGCAGAGTTGGTTCCTGAGACCTCGTGGATCGTTCAACCTTCTTTGGACGCCCCAAATGGGTACGGAAAACGTTGGCACACTGCTCAGCAACAGATGTTGCCCCAAACCAACAGCGGCCGCTGTTGGGCAGGCGGCCTTCTGTCCCAGATGGAGACAGCCCGCGGCGACACCGACAGCGAGCCCTGGTCAAAATGAGCAGAGCCTGCTGTCGGCCTCTGCACCCATTCTTTCCGTGCCCACCTCCACCGTCCCGAACCTTGCGCGATCGGTCGTCGTCGTCGTCGTCGTCGTCGTCGTCGTCGTCGTCGTCGTCGCCGTCGTCGTCGTCGTCGTCGTCGTTTTCGTCGTCGTCGTCGTCGTTTTCGTCGTCGTCGTCGTCGCCGCCGTCGTCGTCGTCGCCGCCGACGTCGTCGTCGTCGTCGACGCCGCCCGACTCTCTCCGGGGCCACCGGCGGCGCTCCGCCTCTGACGCTGCCGAGGCCGGGGCTTCGCCGCCGCGCCGGCACGACACGCACGCAGACCGCCGGGCTCTGGGCTGAAGTCGGGCGCGTCCCCCATACAGGGGGATGTTCGACGAAACATAGAAAATATACAAAACAAATAATCCCAGTGCGACCCTACCTAGGAGTTGGAACCCCTAGGAAAGCAGCATTAGTAGTAACAGTAACGCTAAGCTAAAGATAAGCTAAAGCTAAAGCTAAAGCTAAAGATACAGGGGGATGTTCGACGAAACATAAAAGATATACAAAAAACAATAATCCAAACATAGTCCAACAATAGTCTGGGGACTATTTTTTGAATATTGTTGACCATTTTGGAATATGATTGGGGCATTTTCTGTGTTTCGTCGAAAATCCCCCTGTAGGGGGACACGCCCGACACAAACCTGGGCCAGAAGGCCACCCCTCGAGAGCTCTTGAGACCCTCCGCCGGCCAAAGCCGACAGAGCATCCAAGGGTACAGTCGGACTTGATCGGACAGGACACCCGAGAGGACACAAGACTCTTCCGACGGCAACGTGGCCCCAGAACTCCAGAGGACATGCGGGTTGCCGAGGTCGGGATAGACAGGACACCAGGGTATCCTCGATTTGGCATGGTCGACCTACCAATCAGGGCCGACGGTACCCTCCCCCGGGTGCACGGGAGCATCCAGCGATAGAGGCCTCTCAGATGGGGTCCGAGCAGATGGGGTCGGAGGACTGCGCCACATCGCCGATGCATCGGCGATGCATCGGCGATGCATTCGCGATGCATCGGCGACATCGGATTGAATCGGCGACGTCGGCGTGGGGAAAATCGGGCTCCGCATCGAGCCGCATCACCGATGCATCGGCGATGCGGCGCGAGCCTCCGACCCTATCTGCTCCGACCCCACCTGGGAGGCCTAGAAACAAGCACGAAGAAAACGAGGGGTTACCCTCCCCGAACCGACCTCGACCTTCTGCCTCGGTCTGGCTGTATCGTACCTTGGCCTCCTCCGACCTCTGAGCAGGGACCGACGGTCCCGGCTTTCCCACAGGCCTACCACGACATGCTCTTCGAACCCAAGCCTGTTCTCATGTCGAAAACCGTGTTCTCAGAACACAAGCCCGATGTGCTGAAACAGGCCGGTCTCAGCCAGAAGCGTCCTAAGACAATTCCCTGCGGACCAAAAAAAAACGACTTCTTCGTGGGCCCATGGACGAGGCAGGACGCTTCGCCACTGCTTGAGGCCTCCGCCCCGCGCCCCGCCTGCCCGCCGCCGGCCAGCGCGGCAAAGGCCCCTCCGACCTCATGGGGATCGGGTCTCGGCAGGCCCTCGCCAGGCCCTGCCCCGAGAAAGGCACAGGAGCGGGAGGGGGGGAAGGCAACGGATATGGCGGCGGTTGGCGCCCGGAGGTCCAGGAGGCCTCCACTTCCCAGACAGTTGCGCGGAGGGCCGGGAGGGTTCCAGATCGGAGGCCGGCAGGCAAGAGTGCAGCCCCGAAGCTCGTTCGGGCGTCGGTCCGGAATCCCCGCTGCGACCTGCTTGAGCTTTCAATGTGTCCCGGAAGGCCTTTTCTAAGTGGTGCCCGATACCTGTGCCCAGAAGCTGTCCAGAAGCTCCCTCCAAAACTCTTTCCAAAAACCTCCAGAGGTCCTTCGAAAGTGTGTTAGAAGCTTTTCTGGCGCCCCGCGATCCAGGTTTTGGACACCACAAGTTTGGAGGGGGGGCTAGATCTCCCCCTGAGCTCCGACGACTCGAAAAATTGAAACATCGTGAAAATCACGACCGAGCCCTAGACTCCATCTTCCTGCGCCATTTTCCGAGCTGGATCGATCTGTGAGAGTCCTGTGGCCCGAAACTGGGCGAAAACGCACGGCTCGAAAAAATCGGATCGCCAGGATCTCAGGGCCACCGCGACGCGGAAAAGCCGCGACGGCAAATCGTTGGTCGCTTTCAGCCTCCAGAGCCCCTCGCCAAGGCCCCAGGACCGTCCAAAGAGCGACCTGGGCTCAAGATCCAGCCCTGGGCAGTGGGTCGAGGCCTCCGTGGGTCCACGCTGTGGGAGGAGGAGAGGAGGAGGAGGAGGAGGAGGAGGAGGAGGAGGAGGAGGAGGAGGAGGAGGAGGAGGAGGAGGAGGGAAAAGAGGGTGGAAGGAGGGAGGGGAAGATAAAGACGTGGAGGAGGGAGGAGGGAGGAAGAGGCGGAGGATGGCCAGAGCATCCCAAGGATGCATCCAAGATGGCCCAATATAGCCTCCCGTGCAGTGCCCCCCTTTTGTGAACTACAGTGGAGGCCCATGCCAAAAAAACACCCTGGTTGCTTCCAGGGTGCCTTGGGTTTCTTGGGTTTCGATGGTTTGCCATGAAAAGCGTGACGTTCCCACACCAAAAAGTCCATGGACGTTCTGAGGTCTCAGGGTTGGGTTTCTTGTGGAAGGTTTCTTGTGGACTGGCCTCCACTGCAGCTCTATTAGAAGGCATGTAGGGGCCAGAACTGTTCCGCCGCACGCCGCCAGACACATGTCATGTTAGGGATCCAGGGGAGACTATGTCATGTTAGGGATCCAGGGGAGACTGGGAGGTGTGTGTTGGTTATTGGCACGGCGGCGGCGTAAGACGGGGCAATCGGTTTCCAATGTCTTGAACATCATGGCGCGGTATCCTCATACCGTGCATTGTAGCAAGTGCGGAGGGAAACTTCTGATTAGAACAATGCCTTTGCCGAAATGGCGGCCCCATGGGGCGCCCAACAACGATTCCGTGCCAAATCGTATATTTCGCCCAACAGAGTAGATACCACTCCGCCTACATACTCAGCCTACTCCTCAGAACCGCTATCACTGCGAACCGCAGCTGAATGATACTTTCGCCACGACGGCGTATTAGAATAGGACCGCCTCAGTCCGCGCATCCTGGGCTACAGATCAATTCTGCCAGCACGGGCCCTTCACTGTAAGCTATTGCGCGGTGGATGTAATCTATGTGGTGCAAGCTATGTGGCGTAAGCCACGCGCTGCAACATGTGCGATTTACGCAATAGGGTGCAAGGCGCAAGCTATGTGGAACAAGCAACTTGATACAAGCTATGTGGTATAGGCTATCTGGCGTGAGCTGTGCAGTACAAGCTGCATGGTGTAAGCCATATGGTGTAGGCTGCGCGTTGCAGAACATGTGGTGTTCGCTGTGTAGCGTACGCCATGTGGTGCAAGCTACGTGGCATAGGCGATCCGACACAGCACGCGTGGACAAAAACTATGCAGCGCAATGCGTGCGCACGAGGCGCCCACGAGGCGACCACGGGCGGCCACGCGCGGGCGCCAGGCGAAACCTCGGCACACGCACAACCACAACCACACCCGGCGCACGCGGCCCCACGACGCGCCCACGGGGCGGGCACCGGGCGAGACGCCGGAACACCCACCTCAGCGCACGAGGCGCCCTCGAGGCGCCCACGAGCGGGCTCCGGGCGAAACCTCGGCACACAGACACACAGGCACACGCACACACACACACACAGCGCACGAGAGACGTCCACGAGGCGCGGCCCCCGCCAATCGGCACCAGCCGGACACCTGGCACGCCCAGCCAATCAGGCCAAGGAAGAGAAGCACGAGGCCCTCGAGTGCAAACACTGCTTTGCTTGGGCGGGTGAGAAGTGTCAGAGGCATCCTCCGGCTGTGCAGCAACTGCACAAGACCAATCGCTGGGGAACTAAACAAAGAAGCCTCGAACGAGAACTCAAGTGGGAGGAGGAATCGCCCTCCATCCGTGTAGCTGCTGCCTGCTTTGGGTCAGCGCGCGAGGCACCACATCGACGTCCACATCTCCGCCCTCGTGCCCACTGGCACGTGGAGGTGTGGCAGGATGCCAAGTGCCGCCTGTTGCTTCTGTACGTTCTTGAAGCCCTCCCCCCTGACATTCGCAGCTGACTGCACCGCCCACCCCTCCCTCCGTTATGGTTCATGGGTGCCCGGGCGCCTCGCTGGCGTTCTCCGAGGCGGCCAAGGCGCCCGAGATACCCAAGGTGGCCCAAGCAGATCACGATGGCCGCCAAGATTGCCCAAATTGCCTCCGATATGGCCCAGGATGGCCACAAGACGGCCCAAGATGGCCTCAAGACGGCCCAAGAGGTTTCCAATACGGCCCAAGCGGACCGCCAGGAGGGCCCGAAGAGATTCAACTCATTAGCTGTCCTGCTTCTGTCAGGTGATTTCTACATTCTCGCATCTTCGGGTTTCTATCAGCGCAAGGCGATCCAAGAGGCGTCCAATGTTGCCCCAATGCGGACCAAACTGCCCTCAAGAGGTCTCCAAAACAGCCCAAGAGGCTCCCGAGATTGCCCAAGAAGCCTGCAAGGTGGCCCCAAGACGACCCAAGGAGGCCCCCAGACGGCCCAATAAAAACCCAAGACGACCCTTCAAGACCTCAAGGGGGCTTCAAGACGCCCCAGAAAGGCCCCCAAGACAGACTCCGATGGCGCAAGACTTCCGAAGAGCGCCCAAAGACAGCCCAAGAAACTCACAAGATGCCCATAGAGGCCTTCAAGAGGCCTCCGAGATGCCTCCAAAAATGCCCCAAGATAATAGGAGGGAAGAAGATGAAGGGAGAAAGCCGACGACCAACACAAAGAGAGACACCCCGACACGTCGCAGAAGCGCGCGTCGCCGTTTACTGCTATGCCAAGACTCGCGACACGAGGTCTCACACGCTGCGATGTTTCTAGCTTCTGAAACTAGGGCACGCGGCGCTCGGGCGACGAGTGTGCGTGGCACTAAGGCGAGCTCGATATGTATTGAAAAACGGCCCGCCCTCCGTCCGTAGAGCTTTTGGAAGCGTCAGACCTCACTGCCGCGGATTGCAAGAGGGGCTCAGGCGAAGAGCCTGGCCAGCCATACCGAAACGTCTGGTGACGCTGCATCAGGGCCAAGCGAAAGGGGGGGGAATAGCAAAAGGGGGGGGGAGAATCAGCTCACGTAGCTGATTTTCCCGGCGCCTCCTGGCGCCCGAGGCGGCCATGTAACGAGGAATGGGCCCGGCGGCGGGGCCGAAACCAGCTGCATGCAGCAGATTTCGTAACCCCCCCTTTCCCTATCCCCCCCTTTCGTTCTGCCCGAATGGAGGGGTTGATTGGCCGGCTACGGCAACCACAAACCACAACTGAGGAGGAGGAGTCGGAGGAGGTGGAGGAGGAGGTGGAGGAGGAGGAGGAGGAGGAGGAGGTGGACGCTTCCTACGTTTGCCTTTTGCCGAACCTCCCGCCACCTTCCGCCCGCGGGGCCCGCCGTCGTGTCGTTTCCGCCGGACCCCGCCGAGGGTGAGCTGCGCCGAAGGCAAGGCCCTCTCCAGATAGGCCGATGCCCCGCCACCACTACCACCGGTAGCAGAGGGGGAGGGGGAGGAGGAGGAGGAGGAGGAGGAGGAGGAGGAGGAGGAGGAGGAGGAGGAGGAGGAGGAGGAGGAGGAGGAGCAGGACGAGGAGGAAGAGGAGGGGGAGGAGGAGGAGGAGGAGGAGGAGGAGGAGGAGGAGGAGGAGGAGGAGGAGGAGGAGGAGGAGGAGGACGAGGAGAGGAGGAGGAGGACGGGAGGAGGGGGAGGAGGAGGAGGAGGAGGAGGAGGAGGAGGAGGAGGAGGAGGAGGAGGAGGAGGAGGAGGAGGGTTCTGGACGCTGACACCTGGAGGGAGGGGGGTTACCGAGGCCCGGCCGGGCCTCCAGCACGGTGACCTCGAAGCCACAGGCCACCGCCAGCGACATCGCCTCCCTCGCGGCGCCCAGCGCCTCGGGCAGGCGCTTCCCAGACCTCCGCCCGGGCGTGGAAAACTCGGGCGCACGCTGCCATGGACTGGGGATGCGCGGATCTGGCGCGCGGTCGCCAGATCCATGGATCGGGGGAGGTAGCCCCGAGAAATGGCACCAGTACTGCCCGATTTGGTCTGCGGAGGGTGCGGACTCTGTACGGAAGCGGGGCCCGTCGCTGATCCATGCGCCCTAACCCATGTTGCGCTTCCGCGGAGGAAAAAGACACCGCGGACGTTTGAGCCAGTATTGTATTCTCGGTAACACCTGTTACTGGTCCCGCCACACCCCCACCCTCCCCTCTCCTCACTAAGTCCGTCACGATTCGCGCAAGCGCCGTCTGGGATTTTAGCGAGTTCGAGACGTTCCCTGAAGGCGCTGGAACGACTCGTGACATTCCGGGTCCCACCCTCCCCATCCCCCCAGTCACGCTTGGTATCGCCAGGTTCTTGAAGATGCAAAACTCTGCACAGCCTCTGGGTGACGACGGCGGGCGGGTAAAATGCGACCTGAGAACGGAGCACTCCCCACACGAACGGCGAATACATAATGTCTGACGTGCACAATAGCGCCAGTCATCAGCAACATGTTTTTCCTCCAGGCACCACGGAGCAAGAGCCAGCGAAATTACGGCGGACGGTTTTGGGTGAGTTTCTACACATATGGGGGCCCTTTCCGGGCCCAGGGAGCGTCACAGAAACGACTCGGGATAATACGAAAACGGCCCTGGGGAAAAGGACCAGGTCTCCCTTGCTCCACGCTGCGAAGAGATCACGACGGTTGAGGTCACGCAGGCGCAGCCGACGGCCCTCGTGGCCAACTCGGGGCCATCTGGAGGCCTCTGAGGCCCTTTTTGTTTCCCCTGTGTCGGAGCCAATGGATAGACGGCACCAGCCGTCTGAAACGTGCGAAAGGGCATAATTGGTCAATGTCTGGTCCAAAACGGACAGACCGACGGGCCCTGACACACCTCCTCCTGCGTCTGAGCCTGGTTCGACCATCTGCGACGTGCGAGCCCATCGGTAGGCTGGCTCACCGAGATGCTCCTGCCACGCATGGCGTTATGTCCATTACGAGGACGGCGCCTGTGCACCGCACCGTGCTTCGACTCCCCTTGGGCCACGCCCAAACGCGGTACGGCGCATAATGCTTTCGGCTCGACCGTTCCTGCCGAGAACCGACGGCGCCTCGGGAGACGCCGACACGGACGGCACGGTGCAACCAAATCGTCAACGGATTCTTGGCCGAGACTGCTGTCCTCTCCTCACCACTGTGCGGGCATTCTCGCGGACTTTCTGCGACAGTTCTATTGTCATCGCCGCCGAGGAGGCCACAGACCGTGTCCGTCGCGAGGTCGCCGAGTTCGGTGTAGAAATCGACAAGTTCATCTCCGTATTAGAGCACCAGCTTAATATCCTGTGTGCCCAAACCTTGCAGGTCTCTTGCATGAGACCGTTAAGGTCTCACGCGCTCAGGTCTCTTACGTGAGACCGCGAAGAATTGGAAGGTCTCACTCTGCTGCGTCCACGGTCCGAAGATGTCCACGGGCCGTACATGCGCGGAGCACGCTAGACCAATGCGACTGACGTTACCCTTCACGAGACGCAGCGCGCTTTTCAGCATGGCCTCCTGCGGCACGCGCACACAAAATTCTAACACCTGCCTTGCACATGCCGAAGAATAATTCTCCACGACTGTTGACGAGGTGCGGTTCCGTGTGACGTTCGTCGATACCTCCCGCGCCATCGCAGCGTGCGTCGAGCAATCACTGTGAGCAAGACAAGTGATGTTGTCCGCAAGTGAACCCATGTCAGGAAGATCTAAGGGCAGCTTAGACGCCGTGCCAATGTTGTCTAGAGTGCTGCAATATCAATGCCAAGCCCTCGCCGAGGCGGAGAAGCAAGAGGAACGCATGGGGATACCCGCACAGGCAGATCCCACCAAGGGCGAGGAGGAGGAGGAGGAGGAGGAGGAGGAGGAGGAGGAGTAGGAGGAGGAGAAGGAGGAAGAGAAGAGAAGGAGGCGCCTGAGGTGGGATCACCCGCACAGGCGGGCCCCGCCAAGGGCGACGAGGCAGAGGAGGAGGAGGAGGAGGAGGAGGAGGAGGAGGAGGAGGAGGAGGAGGAGAAGGAGAGGACAGGGGGCACCCGCACAGGCGGATCCCACCCGGAGAGAGTAGAGGGCGGTGGGCACACGCACGGGCGGATCCCACGTGGAGGGAGGAGAGGGTGGGGGGGCACCCGCACAACCCCCAGGAGGGCGTAAGCAGGGATGAGGTTTAGGTAGAGGAGGTGGGCTGGGAGGGCGAAAGCAAGGATGATGTAGAGGGCGAGAGCGAGGATGCCGTAGAGGAGGGTGAGGAGGACACGGACAGAGCCGTTGAGGTGGCGGAGGGGGTCGCGGGGATGGAACGGGGGGGGGCGCTACCCCAGGCGACGCGGTCTTCCAAGAAGACCGCCTCGATGTAGTGCTGCTCAATCTTCGGGGGCCGCGGCATGATCAACGCTTACGCTGAACATCAGTGCCGGCCTCCACGTGGATTTCCCCCACGTACAGGTTGAACTTCTAACGTTCTAGCGCGCCTGGCGCTGCACGATGGATCGTCCGCCGTTAGATCCACGAAACTACGCGGGTGGATCCGGCGACTCTGGGAAGCTGCCAACGCGTGATTCAACTCCACGCTGGCAAAAAGTGTGTCCTTGCAGCGGAATTGTAGCTCATGGCATTCTTCCCAGAGCTTACGCATCTGGGGGGAGGGGTTGCTGCTCGCAGGTTTTGTTCCCACGCGGCTGCTCTGTTGTGGGACGTGCTCGTGGAGCTCACGCTTGCAAGTTTCCGAATACTGCCACGCTCGCCGCGCGGTGTTCTTAATGGAGGTTGTGCTCGTCGGTGTCGTCCTCGCGGAGCTGCTGCGCTTGAGTCTCCTCTGGGGAGGCCGCGCCCGAGCTCGCGCTTGGGGAGTTCGCGCTTGTGGAGCTCCTCGTGGCGTTTCTGCTCGTGGATCCCCTCGAGGAGCTCCCGCTCGAAGTCGGGAGGGGTTTACCCTTATGGAGCTCACACACGTGGAGCTCTCGCGGAGCTTCTGCCTGGGGGGCGCCCTCGCGATGTTGGTACTCACGGGAGCCGCTCTCGTGGAATTACCCTCATGAATGGCTGCTTACGGACTTTCTCCCGGGCTTCACGCTCGTAGGGTTCACGCTTGCGGAGCTCCTCGCTGGTCTCATGCTTGTGGGCTTACTCGTGGAGCTCACGCTTGCGGATTCGATGCTCGTGAAGCGCTGCGGGGTGGAGTGGAAGCATGTTCCTGGAGTTGGTTGCCGATGTTTCTATCGTGGATTTCCTGTTGGAGTTCGAGCTCACGGACTCCATCGCGGAGTTCGCGCTTGTGCGGCGTTACTGCGCGTGGTTTCGCCTACGAAGTTCATGCTCGGGGGATGATTCGCAATGTTTTTTTCTGGCGTTTGGCACTCCTGGCAACTTGCCTCGTGAAGTTCGTGCACGAGGAGGTCCACGCTCGAAGAGATCTTGTTGGAGGTTGTGCCTGCGGATTCCCTCGCGGAGGTTCTGCCAGGTGATCCCCATGTGGAGTTGGAACTTGTCGAGCGGCTGCTTGGGGATGTTCGGTTGGAGTTCAGGTTCGAGCTTCTCGAGCTTCTCGTAGATTTCGTCGCGGAGGTCCACGCGCAAGGAAATCCTGACATTGGAATTCTTCATGGATTTCGTTATCGTGGACTGCACGCTCATGGAATACACGCCCGTGAACTTTTTGCACGGATTTAATGCTCGTGGCGTTTCGCATAAACCTCAAGCTTGTGGATGCCATCCTCGCGAATTTTGAAATCGTGGATTTCCTCACGAAGTTCGAGCTCGTGGAACTCCAGCTCCTGAAGCTCCTGCGCGTTGATCCGGAGTTGGCCACAAGCCCCTTTTTATGTGTGCGTGTTGTCCATTTGGACGCCTTACTAAACTTGGGGGGGAGCCTTTGTACGACCACCACCCCGTGGCCTTCCACTGGGACCCCAGGAGCTTCCCCCGGCGACAAGCCGTGCACGCCGAGTAGTTCCTCACGGACTTTGGGGGTCTGGGCAGGAGCCAGGAGCCCGAAGACTTCGAGAGGCTCCGAGGAGCCCCTCTCATTCACTGCGACCCCCTGCTCAGACAGTGCCAAGTGGGGGGACACCACTACAGCCGATAATATGATCAAGAACATTATCATTTCTAGGGGGCCACATGCGAACCCTACCCCTACCCCCCACGATTTCTGAAGGGGAGGGTGGGGTTCACTTCGCTCTAAAGGTGTCGCCACCTGCTCTAGGGAACGGGTCCTCCAATATTCCCCCCCCAGAAAAGCACCAAGCAAAACGCCCTCAGCCTCTTCCATTCTCGATCCTCCCTCCTCGACTCTCGACTTCATGTGGTGACCTCCCTAGTGGTGACCCCCTCTGGCAATGCCTGGACCCCTGGAGAGGTGTTGAGGGGCAACCGCTCTGGATAGCCATGGAGGAAGGATCTGCCTCAGGATGGGTTCGCTCCCTAACCCGACCTTGGGCCAAACCCCCATACCTATGTACCCTGAGACCCGCTGCTACAGAACAAAAGCAGCATCGCGAGACATCACGACTGGAGCCCTGTAGACCCCGTTACTCTGCTGCACTTCTCGGGCCGGATCGATATGGGATGGCCCCAGGGCCGGAAACACCCCGCAGAAACGCCCCGTGGGAAACACACATGCAGAAGCCCCTAGATCTCGGGATCTCAACAGTAACTAGGTGACGACATCCGAGCCCTGCCCCCACCAACCATCGACTCTCCTGCATCGATGGGAGGCGGGGCTAGGCTTCGGATTTCGCCACGTGGTCGACGAATTCCGAACCCTACGGCCGGACCTGAGACGGAAGAGCATCCTTCAGGAAGATGAGACCCTCTGCCAGGCACAACGCACATAACATGAAAGGGTATACCCTCCGCAGGATGCCCAGCGAAGAGCACGAGGGTACCCTCCCCGAACCGACCTCGATCTCGTACCTCGGTCCGACAGTACCCTCACCGCCCATCGAAATTTAGGTCGGGCATGGCCTCCCACGGGCGGTTTTTGGACGAAGATCAAACAAATCAAAACATGTCCAAAAATAGTTTGAAAAATTAGGAAAATCGTTCCCGGCATTTTTTAAAAAATCTTGACTATTCCTCCTGTCGAGGGACATGACCGACTTCAATCGATTTGCCTGAATCGTTGATCGGCGAGGGATGAGGTCGGAGGTCGCCGCCGATCTACGCCAGGCCGACCTTCACGGCGACCTTCCCCGCGCCGCGCCTCGCCCAGGCAGGAGGCCCTCCGGGGCCCGCAGCTGAGCGACACGCCCACCACCTGACCAGCCTCGAGCCTGTCCCCATCCCTGAGATGGGCAAGCCCACGGCGACTCTTGTGGCGGCGCGCCCAGGAGGGTGTGGGGGAGGGGGCCAAGGCTTCTTAGAAGGGCACTGCTGCTTCGAAGGCCCCGGCTCTACATCTATAGAGCAGGCCCACGCCTTCTGAGAAGCAGAGGTGCTTCTGAGAAGACCCCCCCCTCGCCCCGCACCCCTCTGCGCGTGGCCGAATCCTATGGAGGCGCCCTCAAGAGTTGAAGGAGTTCTCAAGATCGGCACCGGGGTGGGGTGATGTCAACCATGGGGATGGGGATCTGTTTCGAGCTGGTAACCACCGACAGCCCGAGGCCCGCCGCGAGCTCCAGCAGCGGCCGCCAGCTGTCCCGCTGCGCCCCGAAGCGCACCGCGAAGGGCGGGGCCTCGGTAGGACGGGGCCCCGCTCCTTAATTACGGCAAGTTCGCGTCGTGACGACCGCTTCGTGCGCGCTTCCTTCCCGAGGTGGGCCAGGGTGCTCCGAGATTAATCCGGTTTTCGGCCCTTGGCCCCGCCGGGAAGAACGCACGCGGCCGAGCGATGCCGAGAAGAGGCAGGTGTCAGCTGGGAGGGCCAACTTGCTGGTGAGACTGGGCATGCTTCAGGAGGGTGTGCTGCGGGTTCGTGTCGTGACGATCCTGGCGCTGGTTGCTGGCACCGCGTGGATCGCTCAGCCTTGACGGATCGGCCGTTTCCGAAACGTCAGACCGTCCCACATCGATCGGTTCTGGGTCGCCGGCGGCGTTCTCCGTTGAGCGCCGCCGGCGGGGTCGCCGCCGTTCGACACGACGCGAACCTACCGTACCGGGGCGGGTGAGGCAAATACCAGCATTTTTCTTGTTGGGAGCAGGAGAAGATATGAGCGGACAGCATGATTCCACAGCTGGCGATAACATGCGAATGCCGCCACGCACCTCAAGTCCGGTCAAAAAACATGCTGGTGCGGACAGGGAGGTTCCACTCGAAAACCGTTGGCTTCCTCACAGAGCGTGCGGAACAGGCGCGCAATAACGCCGAGGGAGAGGAGGAGAATGAGGAGGATGAGGAGGAGAACGATCAACGGAGGAGAACGAAGAGAGGATCAAGGAGGAGAACGATCAATGGGAAGGAGGAGAGAACGATCAACGGAGGAGAAGGAGGAGGAGGAGGAGAATGAGGAGGAGAACGAGGAGGAGAACGAGGAGGATGAGGAAGAAAGAAGGAGGAGGAGGAGGAGGAGGAGGAGGAGGAGGCGGAGAACGATCAACGAAGGAGACAGAAGAGATCCGGGAGCTGCTAGGCTCTGCGCCCCCGGACCATGACAAGTCGGTACGGCTCGAAGAGTGCGGCGGAAAGAGAAGTTCCGACCGTGACCTCTCGCGATTGCTAATTTTTCCGCGACGTCAGATCACGGAACGAACGGACGTCAAATCACGAACGGAACGAACGAACGAAGACTGATAATTTTTCCTCAGGGAAACTGAACACGGAACGAAGGGGCAGGTCGGCGTGTTGGGTGGGATCGCGGCCGCCGTTCGAGACGGCCGCTGTTTAGACTTGATGGTAAAGATGGGTGGCCTCGCTATCAAGGCCCCCGATACTACCAGGACCCCGATCTCATCGGGGCGCGGGGGATTGCAAACCTCCACCGTGGACCAAGAGCCAAAAGCTGTATTCTTCACGATACCGCCCGTTCCTGGCCCCATCCTCACCCTCCCACCCCGCTCTGATCACGTCACGATTCGCGCTGGCAGCGTCTGGGAATTGAGCATCCCGAGGCATTGACAAACGGCGCTGTCGTTTTGGGTATGGTCGATTTGGGCTTTTCTCAAAGAAGTCCAAGTGGTGGTCTTTACAAAAACCGCCAAGCACCCAAGGATCACCTATGCACATCACCACCACGGGGCAGCCACCCTCCACCGCGCACTCATTTTCCGGGTGCGTGGCCAGCGCAGTTGTCAAAACTCGACGCCCCATACTCGGCGAGCCCGATAGAACACGACCTCCCCGTCCTCCTCCATTCTCTTCCTACACACCTCCACCTCCCTGCTCAGCAGCGCCGCTGTGGCATCTGAGAACGGCCACAGCTCCACGCGTGTACATAATTCGACCATCCTCATCCTCCGACTGCAAGCTCGGCGTGGACCTATTTTTGACGTGCGTGGCCACAGGGGCCAAGCGTGTCGGCCGACGGTCCAGGGCGCAACGCAAACAGGTGTGTGCCCAAAAAGGGGTGTTCTCTCTCAGCGCCCAAGTGGGGTGCCCGCGACGGAGCATACCCCAACGTATCCTGACCAATGACCCCAACATATTCAGTTGCGAGCGCCGCAGCTGTGAGGAGTGTATCTTCTCTGGATTCCCCCATGGGGCCACGAAACACGCGAAAGGCATGCCGAAATGGAGGGGAATGGGGGGCCGCATGCGCACCGTGCCATTGGGGCCTTCGGCAGAGCTCCCAATGGGGGCCGCAAAACGCGTGAGGGGCGTGCCGAAGTGGAGGGAACCGCAAGGGCAGCAGGTGGAGCTCCCTGTGGGGCCACAAAAAAACGTGAGGGGTGTTCCGAAACGGGCGTGATGCCCACACGCGAAAGACGCCACTGGGGCCTTCGGTGGAACTACTCATGGAGCCATGAAGCGTGTGAAGGATGTACCGCGAACAGGCGTTGCGCCAACATGCGAGCGTCGCCTCTGGGGTCTTCAGTGGGGCCCCCATCTGCGGCCACAAAGCGCGTGAGGTGTGTGTGTGTGTGTGACGAAACGGGCGTGACGACCGCATGCGAATGTCGCCACTACGGCAATCGATGAAGTTCCCGATGTGGCCACGAAGCGTGTGAGGGGTGTGACGAGAACGGGCGTGGCGCCTACATGAGAATGTCGCCTCTTGGGCCTTCGGTGGAGCTCCCTATGGGGCCACGAACCGTTTGAGAGGTACGCCGAAAAGAGGCCAGATGACCACATGCGAACGTCGCCTTCGAAGTCTTCGGAGGAGCTCCCTATGGGGTCACGAAACGCGTGAAAGGTGCACCGAAATGTATGACATGCGGATGGCAGAGGCAAGGGTGAAAGGAGGGAGGAAGGGGGGCAGCGGGAGGAAAGGAAGGGGACGCGAGGCGCTGCTCTTCAAAACGAGGACCCAACACCACAGGATGGTGGGGGGAAAAACGACAAGGGGGGGAACGAGAGGAGAGGAGACAGCAGGAGAACTGGAAGGCGGAGGAGCTTTCCTCCTCCTCCTCCTCCTCTTCCTTCCTCCTCCTCCGCCTCTTCCTCCTCGTCCTCTCCGTCCTCCTCCACCACCTCCTCCTGCTCTTGTTCCTCATCCAACTTCCAACTTCCCTGGGAGCCGAACGTGCCCCCAAGAAACCTGTCGAATCCTGAGGGCTCACCGGCCAGCGAGGCTGCCCGCGGCGCGTGCCACTTCGTTGTGCCTCTCAACGTCGCCGCCACCAGACTGACAGGTGGTGGCGTGGAACGCTGGCCTCGTCCAGCGGAGCCTAACATGGTGCTCCGCATGCTGTGAGGTGTTGGCAAGCCGTCGCAGCCCTCGCCCTGGCTCGCCAGCTCAGCCCGGGTCGCAACGAGCGCGGCCGCTGCCCGCGGTAAGGCCGCCAGCATGTCTCCGAGTGTGGACGCACCCGAGACACCGAGGTCGTGCTGGACCTTCGCGGCCGCTTGCGCTCACGCCGCCCACCACGACGCGGCACGCCTCGTGGCCGCCCACTGCGCGCCGGCCCCGCCGAGCTTGTCTGGCAGGCCCAGCAGCTCGCACGCCTCCGGGCCGAACGGCCGTCCCAGCAGGCTATCCCAGCAGCCCCTCGGCGCGGCGTCGCAGCGGAAGGCCTCCCGAAGCCCAGGCCAGCTGCAGGTGGTGCTGGCTGGCGTTGCCGGCGGATGTGTTAGGCAGGGCCGCCGCCGCTCTCAGCAGTCTCTCGAGGCTGGCCCACAGCCTCCTAAGGCGCGCCGTGGCCCCGTCCAGCCCGCAGCCCTGCCTGCTGAGCGCTGGAGCCGCGCTGTCGGCGCCTCGGGGGGCCCTGAGCTGGGCGCCGAAGACCCGGAGCGCGGCCACGCACCCGTGGGCGAGCTCAGGTTGGACAGCCTGGATCTACTAGGGGGCCACATGCGAACCCTACCCCTACCCCCCACGATTTCTGCGGGGAGGGTGGGGTTCACTTCGCTCGGGAGCTCCCGAACGAGGTGAACCCCACCCTCCCCCTCAGAAATCCTGGGGGGTAGGGGTAGGGTTCGCATGTGGCCCCCTATCTACGCCGGAGACCAAACCAGCACCTTGTCATCGTTCAGCTCGAGCCCAAGGGGCGCAAGCAGCTCTCGCAGGCCAGCCAGCGCTGGGGTGCCGAGGTCCGCCCGCACCGCCTGGTATGTGTCGTCGGGATGCGACTACAGGTGGGCTCCAGGGTCCAGTTGCTACAGCCTGTGGAGGAGCTGCTAGAGGGCGCACCACTTCCCGACAGCGAAGCCTGCAAGAGACGAGAACGGGTCGCCCTGGTCAAACCGTTTCGAATCGGCCGTCGGCCATGCGCGGTAGTGCTCCGCTGGGTCCGAGCCAGGTACCGTCGCATCCGCTGGAACGCGGACTCAACATCCACTTTGATGAATGTCGCGTCTGGCTGGGCTTCCGCGAGGACTTGCGCAAGCTGTTCACCAGCACGTTGGCGCCGCACTTGCGTCCAACGCCGTGCTGGTGTTCCCCTGCTGCGCCAGCCAGCTTGGTCTTCCGCGCCCGCGCCTTGCAGTCCAAAGCGGCGAAGGGCGGCGCCCACTTGCAGCGGCCTCCCCTCCCCAGCGCCCTTCCGGAGCGCCGCGAAAGCTCCAAGGCCCGCGGCGCCTCGAGGCCCTCCCGCGGCACCTCCCCCAAAAAGCGACCCGTGCGGCGGCCCGTGCGCGCAAGCGTACAGCCTCGCCGTCGCCTGCGGTTGCCCCCGCGAGCTCGAGCCGCGATCCCCCAGCAGGCCCGGCGCCGCCAGCCGAGGCGGGCGCCGCAGCAGCTTGCCGCCGTCCCTCCCTCTGCCCCGCTCCCTCCCTCCCTCCTCCCTCCCTCCTCCTGTAGGGCCCCCCCCTGGGCCGCGGCCTCCGCGCTGCCGCCCCGCTCCTCCGAGCACGCGACGCTGAGGAGCAGCCGCGCCCCCGCGTGCTCCGCCGCCACCTCCCCGGGCCGGCCGGGAGCTCCCGAGCGAAGTGAACCCCACCCTCCCCCTCACAAATCGTGGGGGGTAGGGGTAGGGTTCGCATGTGGCCCCCTAGACTCGCGCCAGCACCGTCTGGGAATCGGCCGTTCTCTAGAAGCATTCCCACGCGGCGCCAGCGCGAAGCGTGACGTGACCGGCCCCCTCCACCCCCCTCCTTCCGTCCTCCTCCGTCCTCCTCCTCCTCCTCCTCCTCCTCCTCCTCCTCCTCCTCCTCTCCTCCTTCTTCTCCGCGTCCCCCTCCTGCTCCGCCGTTTCCTCCTTCCTCGCTTCCATGTTCCCTCTTTTCCCTCCCTCCCAGCTCCACCTCCCCCTGGTCACGCCCGTTTTCGCCTGGGGATGACCAACGGTCTCCATGTTCACGCTTCGCGCTGCGCGAAGTGCGAATAGCTTCGCGCTCTCTCGCGCCGCACCGTCCGGGGGAGAAGAGGAGGACGAGGAGAATGAAGACGAGAAGTTGCGAGCCGCGAGCCGCGGATAATTTCGCGCCCGCGTGCAGCGCCCTCCGCCGTATGGAAAAAACGAGGCGGAAACATGTCACCGTTTTCGGCCTTGGGGGTCTCTCGCCGGGCCCCGGGACCGTCAAACAACGACTCAAGACGAAAAGCTGGTCTCCGGGAAGCGGTCGAGACTCCTGGGGACCCCGTATTGAAAATTAACCTGGCGAAGGACCCTACCATATGCAGTTGTGAGTGCTGCATTTGCGAGGACCGTCTTCGGTGAAAGTCTTTGTGTGGCCACAAAACGTGTCAGGCGCGTGCCGATTTGGGAAGGGGGGCGCACGTGGACCTTCCCTATAGGGCCACAAAACATGTGAGGGGTGTGCCGAAAGGGGCGTGACGCAAACATGCGAACTGCGCCACCGGGACCTTTGGTGGAGCTCCCTACGGGGCCATGAAGCGTGTAAGGGGTGTGCCGAAACGGCGGTGACGCCCGCATGCGGGCGGTGCCGCTTGGGCCTTAGCTGGGGCTCCCTACGGGGCCGCGGACGGCGTGTGGGGGGTGTGCGGAGGCGGGGGTGCGCCCGCGTGCGAACGGTGCCGCTGGGGCTTTCGGTGGGGCTCCCTCTGGGGCCGCGGGCCGTGTGGGGGGTGTGCCGGGGCGGGGGTGGCGCCCGCGTGCGGGCGGTGCCGCTGGGCCCTTGGCTGGGGCTCCCTGGGGGCGGCGGGCTGTGTGAGGGGTGTGCCGAAGCTGATGGCGATGATCATGATGATGATGGTGATCATGATGCTGATGATTATGGTGATGCTGATGATGCTGATTATGATGATGATAATGATGGTGGTGATGATGATTATTAGTATGGTGGTGATGATGCTGATGATGATGCTGATGATGATGGTGATGACGATGGTGATGATGGTGATGATGAGGATGATGATGCCAGCGATGATGACACCGATGATGGTGATGATGGCGGCGGTGCTATTGTTGATGATGATGTTGATTATGATGATGATGCTGACGATAGTGGTGACGATGATGATGATGATGCTGATGATGATGATGATGATGATTGAAATGATGATGATGATGATGAGGATGATAATCATCATGATGATGAAGACATGGTGGTGATGGCGATGCTGCTGATGCTGCTGATGAGGACGGCGATGAAACTAATGATCGTTTTGATGATACTGATGATGATGATGATGATGATGTTGATGATGATGTTGATGTGGAGGTTGGTGACGATGATGTTGATGATGATGATGCCTAGGATGATGATGTCGGCGATAATGACGACGATGATGGTGATGACGACGGCACTGTTGTTGGTGATGATGGTGATAATGCTGACGATGATGGTGGTGACGATGATGGTGATGATGGTGATGATGACGATGCTGATGCTGATGATGGCGACGATGATGACGATGATGATGATGCTGATGATGATGATGCTGATGATGATGATGATGATGATGATGATGATGATGATGACGATGGCGATGACGGTTCTGATGGGAGGCAGGGGGAGGAGGAAGGAAGGAACGCGGGGCGCTGTGTCGTCAAACTGAGGGCTCAACACCACAGGATGGTTGGGAGCAAGGCGCCAGATCTCTGGGGAAGGAAAGAGGACTCCCAAGTGGGCCCGCTCCAGAAACCTAGGGCGCGCCGAAAAGAGCGGGCAGGAGGAGGGGGTTCAGCGCACCGTGACCCGAAGCACGTGCGCGGACGAGGGGGGGGGGCAGGAGACGCTTCTTGAAACAGGAAGAGTGAGCGCCAAGATTTCATTGCTCCAGCAATTAAGCCCACACACAATCCTTACCTCCCTCCTGGATGCCTCCAGAAGAGAAGCCTCCCAAATGGGCCCGCACCAGATCCCCTAAACTTCAGACAACATCTGCATCTGTCGCCGCGACGTTTGTTCCCGACGCGCCCAAGTGGACGAAACCGACACCACTGCAAACCCTGCGCCCCGCGTTCCAAAGAGACGCAGCCGGCACCGCGGCAAACCCCACAGCTGACCTTGTGCCCGAGGCGGCACTTGCCCGGGTGGTCGGGGTGCCCTCCCCAAGACGTACGGCCGCGCTTCGGAACAAACGGCAGCCGATCTTTAACCTCCGCCGTTTAGCTGCCCCGACACGCAGCACGCAACACGCAACACGTACCCAGAGGTCTGAAAGGACAGTTTTTTATGAACATAACTTATGTTCCTTTTTTACAGGAACATGATGTTGAATTAGGAACATGATTTTTGTTGATTGTTGATTTCGTAAGTTTTTGTGATTTGATTACTTTAACTTTGCAGTGAGTACCATCATCGGCAAATTCCTTCCACTGTCACCGCCAGTGCTGCCATCATCAACACGCCCGCCATCATCGCCATCATCATCGGCAGGGTCGGGTTCGAAACTTGAGCCAAACCGCGAGCTTGAGCCAAATTATGAAAACAAACCGCCCTCCATGAAACCAATGTGCGCGGCGCTGAAGCGAGAGCACAATCCCAGCGCCTTAATCCCCCCGCGGAGAAAGCGGATCATGTCGGGGCAGACTTGGTGTCGTTCCCCCTCCTCCACCTCCGCCTCACATCCTCCTCCGCAGCCATATTTTGGCTCGAGGCTCGAGGCCTGTTCCTCGCCGAGGCTGCGAGGGACCCGCAGCTCGGCACTGGGCGCGACGCGCCCGCCGCCAGCCACCCGCGCGCGGCGCGCGGCGCGCGGCGCCCGCCACCGGCCACCATGTCGAGGTCGCCAAAGAACTGTCCAGAGTCGGTGGCGCTTTGGAAGAAGGGCGGAGGAACTCAGCGAATTCCATCATCGTGGGTGTACAGGGACGACGATGATGAGGGAATATGGAAGTGCGACGCGTGCGGTGGCAAGGAGATGTGCGAGACGCACGCCATGTCAGAGAAACACGCTCAGAAAATTTGGTATTATTGTTTCGGCTATGGCAAAAAGCATGGGCCTGGCAAGCTCATGAACGCGGTGGAGTCCAGCGTCCGCCACAACAACAAGTTCGTGTATCCAGGTCGCGGGGCCGGCGGCGCCGCGTCTATGCTCGAGCCGCAGGGGGGCGACGACCATCAAGGAGCTCAAGCGGCGGCGGCGGCTGAGGAAGTCCCGTCGGGCTCTCGGTGGACCGTGGCCGCGGCTGCCGCGGACCAGCAGGGGGCGGGCGAGGCGGAGGTGACGTTCGTGGAGAGTTTCAAGATGGACAGCAACTCGATCTCATCTCAGATCGAGCTCGGGCCGTCCATAGACCAGAAGCTTGACGGGGTGATCGCGTTGACGAGTACCATGGGGCAGATCATGGACAAGGCGACGAAGCTCATCGAGAAGATCGATGGCTCGGCGGCCGACCAGAAGGGGCCGACGGCGGAGGCCAAGATCGACGAGGTGAAGCAGAGCTTCGAGTCTACGTTGCAGACGCTCGAGGCCAAGATCGGAGAGGTGAAAAACATCGTCGAGAAGCAGTCGGAGCAGTCGGAGCATACCATTAAGAGTATGAAGGAGTACAAGCAGGACATGGAGGGCAAGATCGACGAGGTGAAGACGTGCTTCGACAGCCAGGTGCCAACTCTGACGGCGCAGATGGCCGAGGTGAAGACGAGCTTCGAAAGCCAGGTGCCGACGCTGGAGGCCAAGATCGACGAGGTGAAGAGCGAGGTGAGGAGCAGCTTCGATACTAAGGTGCCGATGCTGGAGACGAAGATCGACGGGGTGAGGAAGAGCTTCGAGTCCAAGCTGCCGACGCTCGAGGCCAAGATCGACGAGGTGAAGCGCAGCGTCGATACGAAGGTGCCGATGCTGGAGCAGAAGATCGACGCGCTGACCGGTCAGATCCGGGCCCTGTGCGAGCCTGGGACGCCGTCGCAGGTCTACCCGCAGGGCTCGGCGACGTTGGGATTGCGCAATGTCAGGAGCAGTTCGAGTCCGAGTTTGTTGGAAGTTCGCGGCGTCGATTCATCGTTTCGTCGCTGAGCAGGCCTCGAGAGGCCCGAGAGCCTGAGAGATGTGTTTTTTTTTCTTCGCGCGCCCCCCGAAACGGGGGGCGCGCGCGCATTTGCCGCAAAAGAGCTGATGTGGTGCCTCCAGGGGCGCAGGAAACATCCCTCCTCCTCCTCCGCGTGTCCTCCCCCTCCGCCAGTGGCCCTGGATGCAAGGCTCCCGCCTGAGACCTCCTCGCAATTCACGCCGCCTCGGCCGTCGGAGTTTTTCCTGGGGGGAGCGTCAGCGCCGCCGTTTCTCAGCGTCGAGTCGAGCTCTGGCTGTCGGCGGAGGTGGCAGCAGCCGCGATAGACACATGAAAGAACCCAACATCACGAGTGAGGAGGAGGAGGAAGAGGAGGAGGAGGCGCAAATCTTTCACTGAAGTCACTTGCACCAGCGGGTTTTTAAATTGCAGCAGTCGCACAGGCATCCTGGGCGATGCCGTCTGAGTGGCGGCGAATGTAAACGTGACCCCCTAAGCTTGAACGGCCGTGGGTCTGCCACAGGGCTGGGCGCGCGCT